CATCTTTGATAATGGCTTATGTAAGCCAAAAGCTTAGATAGGATTAAAAAAATATGTATCAATATTGTAAATTTCTTATTAATATTATTAAGCTTATCAGATGATATGAAAAGAATTTGCATAAAATAAATAGACAACACTTGTCTATATTCTTAATGAAACATGTATCAATATATATATATATATATATATATATATATATATATATATATATATATATATATATAATAATAATAATCCACAGTCAGTCCTGGTGGTAATAAAATAGTGTTCAATTTAAAATAACAGAGCTAAAATATATACCACTAATAAATCTATATTTATTCTTCCCTTTTTAGCTCAACACCGATTTTCATGCAGGTGTCATTCATCAGGTACAAGTTAAAAAACAGACCTGAGCATCACACTGTTAAGATAGTGGAATTGTCCATTTGCTTACAAGAAAAATAAATAAATTGGTAGAAAATGAATTTAATACAAAAAATGAATAGATTATAAAAATATAAATGAATTAAAATTGAGAATGATAATACATATATATATATATATATATATATATATATATATATATATATATATATATATATATATGTATATATCTTAAAATAAAATATCAATAAGAACACAGGATTACGTATCTTACTGTCCTTCCTTTTTTGTACTATAAAATATCTATATATCTATCTATATATATATATATATAATTATTTATTCGAAAATTATAACATAAACATGATATAAAATCACTACAAAAATAGCCATTTTGTTTCAACACTTCTGGTGACGTATCTAGTGATGGTGTTGAATGTAGAATAAAAGGTTTTAAAGGTTCAAATCAATCAAACATATATATATATATATATATATATATATATATATATATTATAATTTATTTAAAAAAAATATGATTCCTTCGCTACATAAGAGTTCTCATGTTTTTTCACGAGAGCTGAAACCCTCAATATAATTATTAAAATTAAATTGAATTAAGGTATCAAGCCCTGTTTCATCCTCAAGTGAAAATTTAGGATCCTAAATTTTTGCTTCTAGTTCTGACCCTGAATGTTGGTGAATTTAGTCATCAGCAACATCATCATAAAGGAAGTGAACAACAGAGAAGAAATTAAATTCTTGGATATGAGTTAAAGCCGACAATGAAAAAAATATAGCATGTTGCAACATAAATTTAACAGCTGTCAGACTAAATCTTAGCTTCTAAACTTGGGGAAAAAATTTATCAAAATGGATCACATTTTCCTAGATTTCTCTATAAAAATGTAAAGATGGCTGGGGCTGTTTTGTTGTACGCAGTATGTTATATCAAAAAAAAATTTGCAGGGGAATTAATGATAAAATAAAAAATACATATATACATGCATACATATATTATATATCTATATATCTATCTATCTTTCTCTCTCTCTCTTTTTATATATATATATATATATATATATATATATATATATATATATATATATATATATATATATATATATGTATGTATCTACTGAAAATGAAAGAAAAGAGAACGTTATGTACACGTACAAACCACTCCTTAACATAACATGAAATTAAAGAGGTGAGTTTAAGTATGTATATGTATTCCTTGAGGGTATTAAATAAAACATTATTCATTTATAACATGAGGCTTCTACTTAAACTCATCTTTTAATACACGCACACACACATATATATATATATATATATATATATATATATATATATATATATATATATATATATATGTGTGTGTGTGTGTGTGTGTGTGTGTGTGAAAATATATAGAAAATAGGAAAGAACTTGTTAGGTAAATAATCCAAAGTTATTTAGTTTTTTTGTTATTATTTTAAATAAACAGTGTTTGATACAAAAGTAGAGCCTAAATATAATTATTTATTTAAAAATATGATTCCATCGCTACATAAAAATGTTTCTTATGTAGCGATGGAATCATATTTTAAATAAATAATTATATATATATATATATATATATATATATATATATATATATGACACACTGTATGCATAGGCATGTTTGTTTTGTACTGCCGCCTCTCTGCAAAAATGCTCACAATCAGAGTATTTGTAACAAAGCCAATTCTAAAACTTTTTTTAAAAAAATATTCTGGAGAGAATTTTCACTTTTCAGATAATTCAAAATAAATGACTGTTGAAATATAAAATTCTCTGCAGTTTTCAAGTAGAAGTTAATTTTATAAAAGTTAGCAAAACAAATTCAAATCTGTGTGTCTCAAAACAAAGGCAAAAAATTACTCTATTTTCAATTTTTCTTGTACATCTTCTGACAAAATTAATGATCTACTGAATATATTGTAGGTGGAAAGGATTCCAATATTAGATTTTTAATTACAGTTTGGTCACAAGGCAGAAGCAAAGTTGTTATCTTAATTCAGGATGTTTTTGAATATAAACAAGTAAATGAAGAATAATATTAAATCTTTGATATTTGAGAAGTGCATTTTAGTTTCGCATTGGTATCCAAGATTCAACAAAAACTTGCTGTATAAATCCATAATTAAACCTAAAGAATTCCTTACATTTTACATTGTTTTGCACATTTAAGACAATTTTGTCCAGTGAAGATCATAAAATGGAAAATTCCCTTGAAGAAAGGAGAAGATTAGAACAAGAGTAAAAACAAATTATGCATATTTCAGCATCAGATAAAGAAAAGGTGAGAGGCTGATAGGTAAAGATATTCACAGGTATTGCATGAATGCAGTGAATCAATAAGAGCATAAACCAGGTGACATGAGGCTCAAAGGTGAACTAATGAATCAGAAGAGGAGGGTAATATGAAGAGAACAGAGCTGTGTGTGCAGAGGTGGGGAGAGATACATATAGCCTAATTGGAGAGAAAAGATTCTAATGCAAGAAGAGTTGCTATGAGAGAAGGTGTAGCTGAAAAGATTCAAAATGAAACAGAGGAAGGAGCCAATGCAAGGAGAGTTGCTATGAGAGAAGGTGTAGCTGAAAAGATTCAAAATGAAACAGAGGAAGGAGCCAATGCAAGGAGAGTTGCTATGAGAGAAGGTGTAGCTGAAAAGATTCAAAATGAAACAGAGGAAGGAGCCAATGCAAGGAGAGTTGCTATGAGAGAAGGTGTAGCTGAAAAGATTCAAATGAAACAGAGGAAGGAGCCAATGCAAGGAGAGTTGCTATGAGAGAAGGTGTAGCTGAAAAGATTCAAATGAAACAGAGGAAGGAGCCAATGCAAGGAGAGTTGCTATGAGAGAAGGTGTAGCTGAAAAGATTCAAAAATGAAACAGAGGAAGGAGCCAATGCAAGGAGAGTTGCTATGAGAGAAGGTGTAGCTGAAAAGATTCAAAATGAAACAGAGGAAGGAGCCAATGCAAGGAGAGTTGCTATGAGAGAAGGTGTAGGTGAAAAGATTCAAAATGAAGCTGAGGAAGGAATCAATGCAAGAAGAGAAAATATCAGAATAGAAGAACATCTTTAAGAAAAAAAATTAAGAGCAATGCAATAGGAGGATGAATGAGAAAATTGTCGCCATGAGAAATGCAAGAAATGCTCAAATTAGTGTTCATAGAGTAAATAATATTCAGTTCACTGAAGCCAATTATCTACAACATACCTGCGGCTAATAAAAAAAGGTCATTATTGACTGCATATTTAGACTAGTAAATTCATCTTTAATTTCCTTTTCTTACTAAATTGTATTTTCTCATTGGAATTTTTGAAAAGTTAATAAATTATAAAATTCCTCTGAATTTGGAGAAAATAAATTTTACATATGTTGACATTCAAAACATTTTTATTATGTTACCACAATTTGTCCATTAGATTTATTTTGACTTCATGGCTGATGTCGTTTCATATTTCTCCATAGTATCAGTATATGTTTATGGTAAAAAATAATTTAATTTATTATTTACATTATTTGCATTCAGACTGTTGTCCTCATCTTTGTTGTTGTTATCACAACATTTTAGATGTTGTTCCCTCAGTGTTAACGTCAGTACTCTAAATGTAGTCCATCCCTCTACAAATGGAAGATTTCTTCAACACAATTTTCCCACTCCTATTTCCAACTCTTTACCTTTGTGTTGGGCAAGAAGAATATACAAATATTTTAAGAAGCTTCCTGTTTCTTCCTGCCAAATCATAACTCTTGTAGTTTCTAGTTTAATATCCTAAATGCATGGTTCTCCCTGAAGACCTAGCTCTTGCATTCCAATCGTAATGACAGACATATTGTCGACAAAAATGACATTTGTTATAAGAGTCACACTAAACCTTTCCCCCAGATGTGGGATTTCAGTTGCTTGTATTACCAGCTACAGGAATTAGTGAGATGATTTTTGAATTGGCTTGTTGGCTTCAAATATCATCTTTCCCAACTTGTCATCATATAAAAATTGATATTAAAAGAGACAGATGTTCAACTACAATTAGATGCATTTTGTTTGATTTGTCCGATGAAGAGTTACCAAGGTTCCCCGTAGAGAAATGTCTCGGCCAAGTGAGAAGATCAAATCTCTTTTATTCAGGCATATTTATGGCAAATAATAGATTGAAGCAGATGCTCAGAGGCCAAGTTTTCTTATAAATTTCCTGCTCTCTGTTTGCAGAAAAAAAAAAGTTTTACTGAAATGAACAAGGTGAAAAATGTAATAAACGACACATGTTTAACAAATGAAGTCAAAGTCACAAAGAAAAAAAAAACAAAACAAATTCTTATTTCTCATCATGTGCTGAAAAATGCCTGGATTTTTAGATGATACCTAAACACCTTTTATGAAAATAAGTATTGTTATTTTATGTAGTATTTAGCATTTCTTCTCATGTCCTTGGCAGCAATAACATCAAGATTTTCAACATTGGATGTGAAAACAGTGTTTTCAAACCATATAGAGACTATTTTTTTTAATAAAATTTCCTTTTGAATTTTAAGTTCAAGGAATTTGTGTTGGGAACATTGGAAAATAAAATCTCACATTGACAAGAAGTAAATCAAAATGGAAGCAAATATAAGTAAATTATTGATCTTAGAAAAAGAAGACAAAAATGTTAAACTTATTGTCAAGAATCAGTCATATATTGAGATCTTTTTCACTGGTGTGCCTCTGTAGTAAACTCCATTAGAATTTGCTTCTTCTTGCTCTTTTAATTGTTCTTCTTCTAATTCTTCTTCTTCTTCTTTGGCTTCTTCTTTTTCTTCTTCTTCTTCTTCTTCTTTTTCTTCTTCTGCTTCTTCTTCTTTGGCTTCTTCTTGCTCTTCATCATCTTGCTCTTCTTCTGCTTTTTCTTGTAATTCTTCTTCTAATTCTTCTTCTTCTTCTTCTTCTTCTTCTTCTGCATCATCCTTTTCCTCTTTTGCATGTGCAAAATAAAAAAAACATAAAATGGTGACAATTTACCCATCACACCCTGTATAGCGGTGCCACTATTGATTGGCTTAAAAATGAGCTTTTTTGTCAAAATCTTTGCTATTATTAAGAGGAAAGACCAAAATATTTTTTGATGATTAAATTGTATTTTTTGATTCTTTTTAGAAGAATTTAAATTTTTGTTTAAAAATCTTGTTTTTTTGTCTGCCAGTAGATTGCGGGACCAAAGATTAGTCTAGAATATTTTAGCCTCATTTTTGCAGTGAAAAGCACATTGATTTAAAAATTCTTACAAAAAGCAAATAATTGTTAGTTTGTAATTAAACTTTCAGGACTCAAATCTTGGTAAAAACATTTTTTTCACATTTGTTAATCCCCACTTATTTAATTTTATAAAATTTCAAGAAATTACATTTTGTACCACTTAATTGATTATATGTAGAACTCCTTGGAAAATTTAAATCATCAAATTTTTTTGTAAAACAGAACCCCCCAGTTGACAAAAATCTGCTCTAAATCAAAATAAAAATGCAATAAATCAAAGACGTTATTTAATTAGAAAATTTTTCAATTTTTTTTTATGATTAACATATATAATGGTCATAATGTTTTATGTAAAATATTTTTTGATGAGTAATTAATATTTTCAAAAATTGTTTTCATTTTTTAAAAAATTTAATTAGAATAATTTCTAAAGATTCAAATAGCCTCTACCAACTAAATCCACCTCCAAGCCAGAGAATGGACAAAGGTAAAGAACTGGCATCTTATAACCAGCTGCTTCTGGTAGAGGGTGCTCAACAGCCCAGGAAGGCAATGTAGGAGAAGGGAAACCCTGATTTTAAAACTCCACTACCTTGCAGTTACATCTAACCAAAAACAGAAAAACTATCAAAGTAAATCCAGACAGAAAACTCAAAGTGGAGCTCCCAATGTAATTAACTGTCAACACTGGTAGCTCCTGCAGTCAAGCTAGCACCAAATATAATGACATGTATTGCTTTGGACCTTGTTGATATGGCTGAGATGGGAGTTATGTAATCTGGACAGTGCCTGACCATCATACAGGCCTGCACCCTGGAGTGCTAACTCCTGTCTCACCACAAAAAGGATTGAATTTTGACCAAACAGGATGCTACCTTTATCTTACAAATGGATGCCTACATATATATGTAACCGCTGGTCACAGAAATCAACATGTATATAAATGCCCAATCTCTGATAATGAGCACCTCTCCCTCTATAAATATAAAATATTTTAATTATCTGTTTATTGCATTCTGTTCATATCTATCTATCAAAGTCTGTTCATTATCTATTCACAAAGACAAATTATAAATTTTACAAACTTACATACATATAGAATTATCTATGGGTATAATAATAATAATAGCTGGCCATTCATATTCCAGGTTTTCCAGGCACTTTCCAAAGGTGCCACATTTTGGGATAATCTCCCTTCAGACTGATGTCTCCTTCCTGACAAACCAACCGTGGTGAGATTTGAACTTGGGTCTCATGGTCAGAAAGTGAACGTTCTAACTATTTGGCCACATGCTTATATATCTATGGTTGTAATGCATGCAATATATGACTGACCAATGAAAATCAAACCACACAAAATTGAAAATAACATAATTTCTGTTCTTTTGTCTGTTTTTCTCAGTCACTGATGAAGCTTTAATAAAAGTGAATCATGTTAGATTAATAAACATTTCCTTATTGTTCTTTATCTTATTATCTATCTATCTATTGCAGTCTGTTCACTATCTATCTGTTTATTGTAGGCTGTTCATTATCTTTCTATTCATCTATCTATCATAGTCTCTTCATTATCTATCTATCTATCTATCTATCTATCATAGTCTCTTCATTATCTATCTATCTGTTTATTGTAGGCTGTTCATTATCTGTCTATTCATCTATCTATATATTAGAGTTTGTTCATTATCTATCCTTCTATCTATCTATCTATCTATTATGGTGTATTCATTAACTATCTATGTGCACATGTGTGTGTGTGTGTGTGTGTGTGCATGAAAAATTCTGATATAGATAAAGTAAATCAGTAAGGATAATATAAACAAAGGACAAGGGGAAAACCTTTTATGGCAACACATTTCATTCATTAAAATTTTCCACATTTGCCTTGATAATGTTCCTCAAGAAACAAAATCTGTTGGTATAAAAGTTTTTCCTCTTGTCTTTTCTTTTAGTCATAAATATATATATATATATATATATATATATATATATATATATATATAATATTTTGTGGGTACAAAATTTAATGATCGAAATAAAAGTATAAAATTTAATATTACAAGACATATTAAAAACAATATTAAATAATAAAAAACAAACAAAAAACTCAACAACAAGGGGGGAAGCAGTCCTGTTTAAACTCCAGTTCGTCAGATTCCATGGGAGATTCAATATTAAAACAGAGAAATGTACAATGTGAATAGTTCCTTCTTGCATATACAAACATATATATATATATATATATATATATATGTGTAATTATTTTTTTTTTTTTTCCACCTATTCACATTGTACATTTCTCTGTTTTAATATTGAATCTCCCGTGGAAGCCTGACGAGCGGGAGCAAAACTGGTTGCTTCCCCCCCCTTGTTGTTGAGTTTTTTTTTTTTTTTTTTTTATTATTTAATATTGTTTTAATATGTCTTGTAATATTAAATTTTATACTTTTATTTCGATATATATATATATATATATATATAAACTCAGATGGACAGATGTACATAACTGTGTGAGCATATGTTATAATAATTGATAGAATGCTGATCGCAATTCTACTAGACTTTCAGACAACATATTATAGCATATCTCTCAGTAAAAAAAGAAAGAAAAAAAAATACTGAAAAAAAAAGATTTGCTGAGGTTTTTGGTATTTAAATTGGCTCAAATCAGAGCCAATCTCATTCATGGCATAATTAACCATGTCTCCTTATCAGAAGGATCAGTTTTCACCAACAAAGATGGACAGTTTAATGCATTTATGTCACAGGAGTTAATATGTTTACAATTCATCTTTATATTGTCCTCAATACACTGTATTTGATATGCTTAATCCTAATGGGTCCAGCCTGCTGAACATGTGACCTTAACCATCAGTGAGAATTGATAGATGTGCCCTTAAAGCAGACAATAAGCTTGTATTTTGTTTATTTTAAATAAAAGCATTTTTAGATTACAGATTTTATATGTTTGAACAAATCAACACTAATTGGCATAGAATGTTTGAAAACATTTTACTTAAACTAATGCTGCACAAAGTGGTAATGTTAATATTAGCCATTTCTTTATCAGGAAACATTTGGCATTCATTGACCAACCAGTCAGTAATACTGTCAGTTGAAAATTATAAAATCTTTCTTTTAAAACAATTTTTCAGGAAAATAGGTTTCTGAAGTCTACTAACATTTATCGTCATTACTGATGAGAATTTTCTTCTTAACCTTTTGCTTGATGTAGTGTTCTATATTCAATTTCCTTATCTACTATACTAAATTCGTTAGAGCTGATCCATAAATCAAATTATATGATGTATTTAGTATTATTAATTCCACATCCAAAATTTTTATGATAAATTCAGTGCAGAGAGTAACCATCGAGAATTATGCAATTTATGTGATAAAAATCCAATATATTTAAAATATAAATTCATATTGTTGTCTTTTTGTTCCTAAAAAATAAATGTAAGAGGTGTTTAATATAATGACAATATCAATAAAAGAAATAACAAAATGTCAAAATTTATTAAGAGCTACAAAGGATAGGAAATTGTGGAGAGCCATGATCACCAATGCTTGGAAAGGACAAAACACATAGAAGAAGACTGATAAGAGACTAATAAATTTTGTGTGGGTGTTGGCTTTTTCTAATAGTAAATTTCATTCAATAAAAGGCCAGAGAGCTACTCAAGTTAGAGCCTTGCAATGAATGAGGCATGTGGTATGAATAGAAGGAGCAAGTGAAGGTGATATGGATAAGGAACATAAATAGATCTTTGGCTTGAAGATTGTAGTATTTAGGGAAGCATCCATGTGGAAATCTATTCCACAAAGATTTTTATTAAATTTGAAACATGGAGGAAATGAGGGTGATTCAATTTCATGGAAGTGGCATGAAAAATCTTAGCTGTAAAGTTATTAACTGGTGGAAATAAAAAATGCAATGCTCACCTGAACATTTGCCAATGTAATCATGATAGGGTAGCACTAGGCTTGTAATTTGGCATTTATAGGAAAAAAAGTTTCAGAGTGGTAAATAAGTTTCCCTCCCCTAGTCTATGGAAATGATTTTAATCTTTATCAAGACAGGAAGGTGGAGAAATGGTGTGAGAGAAAAAGATTCTTCCTGTTTAGTAAAGCCCCAAATGGGAGAAATAGGGGAAAGAACATTGTTTTGCAGCAATCTTAATGTTCCAAATAGAGAGAGCCTACCTTCCTGGAAAAACAGTATTTAAAATACTAGATAGATAAGAAAAACTCAGTACCAAACTATCTTAGCCACCAAATCAATATCAGTTGCTTGTATGGTAGTAGTATGTATGTATATAGTATGTATTAGTTGCTTGTATGGTGGTAGTAGATGTATTTACATTTGGCTGCTTACAAACTTTAAACTGCTTCTTCTAAATAAAATAATTATGTGGCAAACAAGCAACAAATTTCTTAATTAGAGGAAAAATTAAGTAAGTTTTCTGAGAGATACGAGAATATGTGGAAAACAACATTTAAGGAAGAATTGAAAAGATAAAAGGCAAAAAGATTCTTTAATATTTATTTCCTTTCTGAACTGTGAGTGCTTTTTAGAATTTTCTCAAATGACAAAATATCATATTAATTTATAAACCACAGGAACAGATACAGAATCTTAAAAAATGTCAAAAGGTTTGGAAATTATCAGTGAATAGATGGAAAATTTGAAATAAAAAGTCTATCTGGAAAAGGTGAACTGAGTTAATAAGGAATCTTTTTTTTTTTAATATTATTAACAAAGATAACAAAATGATATAAAGAGTATATTTAAAAAAAAAAGTCATGAGTGAATTATGATCTGAATGCATTTTGAACTGAAACAGTAAATATTGTTAAGTGATGGGTGTAAGTAAAAATAAAAGAATGCTAACAGGAAAATATTGAGAGTTTCAAATGCCAGGACAAATCAACAATACGAAAAAATTGGCTGACCAAATAACTGAATAAAAGAATGTTCAGATTTTCATAGAGAGAAGAATGAATAAAAAGTAGAAAAAAATGGCAAATGCTTTGACAAGTAAAGACAGAAACAAAGAATATGATCTTTGCTCTTTCAATCAAATTGAATCAGATAAAAAAAAATTACCTCCTTAACAATTCTGTTTCCTTTTTGGATAAGCAAAAATATAAAAGTAAAATTTTCAGAAAATTTTGCCTTCAAGAATTATACAAGCTGAATTATAGAAAAAAATATATATGAAAATCAGTCATCCAAAAGAACACTGAAAGTGCTAGGAAAATATTAAAAGGATGCTAAACACAAGGAATTTAATCAAAAGCAGTATTCAGAACCCTTCCTATACTAGACAAGCAAACTACTGAGAAACCTAATTCACAAGATAACAAAAATTATGCTAATGAGAGATGATATTGATAGACTGTTAATGAAAAGGCAAAGTGTGTAACCTTTTGAACCTTGGACTACAACTGGTTAGGTTTTAGATGATGCTTCTTGAGTGTTCACTGTGTAGGAGAGTTACAACTTTGAGTAAATGATTATAAACAACCTTACATTTATATACATAGAAAAATACTCATAAAAATGAGAAACAGCAAAAAGTGGAAACAACAAAATGAGTCTTATTTATTATCTGATTGTTATGTGTTGTTGGAGAAACAATAGACAGTAATACTGAGTTTGGGGTCAGATGTGGATCAAAAATGGATTGGAATCAGACAGAAGGATAAGATAAAGAATAGCCAAAGTGTATAAAGTCTTTCTCATGTGTTTTTTTATTTTATTTTATAGATGATGTGTAATAAGCATCCAGATAATTTAGTTGGAAAAAGTGTCTGGGATTTTCTTATCTTGAATTTTTGTTGAGTGCTAAAAGATATTACTATCATGGACTGAAAAAGGAAAAGGAGACAAAATTTTTGTTGATGCACATGTTGATGACCTGTCTGTGTGAACTGCTTTTTAGTAAAAGATGTTTTGTTTGGGATCAGTTATGTGCTATGCATGATATATGCTTAGGCGATCATTTATCTTTCAATACATGACTGATGAAGCAGATTTTTCCCATTTCTTTCTGCAGTAGACCAATTTCCATACAAGGCTATAGAACTCAGTTTGTTCTGCTATTTAACCATAGCTGGTGGGAGAAGAAGAGTATTCATATCTTTCCCAAGGGTATTAGCATGTAAGTGAATATAATGGATTCGAGTGGAATTTGAACTTGTCTCTCCAATTCCTAAATCCGAACCACTATCCATTACTCCAATGTGAATCTCTCTTGTTTGGGAAAGAACATTTTAAAAACTTTAAAAAAAGAATTTAACATCTGTATTATAAGCAGTAAAATATAATATAATTGCTTGCAATGTAAACTTATATCCATTGCAAATGATAATCCACCTCAATCCAAGTAGCCAATAGAAAGAAACCAAATGAGTAAAACAGATCAGAATGGATTATAAAGGAATTATATAAGCATAATGTTATGCTGTACAAAAAATGCTGTGTTTAATAAGGACGGATCACTCTCATTTTCTCAGATGGAAACTTGGTAAATGATTGTGTTGAACAGCAAATGAAAACAAATAAACAATAATAACAGAAGTTCAGATCTTCGCAGTTAGGAGCCACAATGTCATGCACACAGTTGATTTATCCTCATTATCTTTGTATTCCATTAGTAAGGAGAAAGTTCCAATAAAACAGCTTCTTCCTCAGAACTGTTATATTGTGGATCACACTCTCAAGAG